AGTTTTCTAGGGAGTAAAGGACAAATAACAACTACATCCTTTGTCTGGAAGGGTACTTATTTTTCCCCAAAATACACTGCTGATTTTTACATTCCAAAATATATTCTAGCCAGAGGGACCTCAGGCTTGTCCCTCATCGTTAGTTACTGAGGATCTCGTGTCTGTCAGCCCTCGTCATCTGTGTTCTTCTGCATTAAATCATGCCACAGTATCTTGATACCTGCTGTGCGTAAAGACTTTCCTGTTTATCATAAATTCACCAAATACCTGCTGAGCGTCTTGTGTCCAATGTGAGCCAGACTCTGGAGATGTAGTGAATGTCTGGATACCAGTTCCCCCAGTCTGCTCTAGAACTCTTTGTCTCAAGTCTGTCCTGGCTGCCAGAGCAAAAACACTGTCAACTGGGTGGTTTAAACAGCAGAAATGTATTTCTCACAGTTCTGGAGGCTGGAGGTCTGAGATGAAGGTATCTGCATGGTCAGGTTCTGGTGACGACCATCTGCCTGGTTTACAGACCTGCTTTCTTGTGTACCGTCTTGGTGGGGACTGAGTGCTCTGGTCCCTTTACCCCCTTATACAGGCCCCCATCCCACCGCAGGGGCCTCATCCTCATGACTTCATCTAAATTCAGTCACCTTCCAGAGGTGCCACCTCCAGATAACATCACATTGAGAGCACTTCAGCATGTCATTTGGGGTGAATTGGGAGTCCGCAGACATCCAGTCCATTGCACTCTTCTTATGGGGCTTACTTGCACTGTCTTTCTGGGGCTCTCTTTGCTTTCTTCTCTGTTGTACCTTTTGATTCCAGGATCCTATGTGATCATCTTTCTAGATGTATTCCCTCACTCTAGAGGGGCATATCCTTTCATAGCTGGGATGGAATGAGTACGAGGTAAAACCGTCCTTGAATGTCTGAAGATCTCCCTTCTACCCTCCTACTTGATGGGTCGTTTGGTTGGGAAGAGAATTCTCCATTGAGAATAACTTTCACTCCCCCCCTGCTTTTAATAAGGCATTGGTCTTTCTCTTCCAGTCAGGACAGAGCACTCTAGTTTCAGGTTAATTTATACATGGCCCTTTTCCTCCTCTTTGGAAGTTTTTCAGATTGCTTTATCGTGGTGTTCTGAGTTTGTACTCTTAGTACTAGGTAATTGGGGTTTAATTCAGCAACTGTGTCTTTAATTCTGAGCCCATTTTCTGTATTGTTACTCTCTCCCTCATGTGCTTTTCTCTTTTTGGAATGAATACTTTTCTGTTTCCTGATTTTGTTTTCATCTCTCTTTTCTGGGATGTCCTTCAGCTTTATCCTCAAACTCTCCTTTTTTTCTTTGGCTATTTTATGTTTATTTTCAAGAGCTTTTTTGGTTTTTCTGATTTTTTTTTTTTTTTTTTACAGTATTCAGTTTTTGTTGCACGAGTGCCTTGTCTCCTGTGTGAATGTGCTACAGGTTTGTTTTTTGTTTCCGTTGTTGAGTTTCTCTTCTGTTCACTGCATTGTTTCTCTTTCCGGCAATCTTTTGTTTCTGTGTTCTGTCTCCATCTTTCCTGTTGGAACCCTCCTTCAGCTGCCTGATGGTCCCTGGCTGTTGATGATCAAGGAAGACTCAGGCATTGAAGAAGCTAACTGAAAGCCCTGTAGGCAAGATTCCTTAAACTAGTGTCATAGCTGTAGTGATCTGGCCTTGGGCGATCCCTTCTGCAGGAGGACTCCAGATAATCTATGGGAATGTTTAATTGATGCAGAAAAGACTCTTCCAGTCTCCTACTGGGAATGGAGAGTGGAGGGTGAGTGCTCTGAGACCCAGTTGAGGAAAGGGCTGGGAGCCCTGCTCTTTAGACGTTCATTTCCCTCAAGCTGTCAGCCTTGCTTTCATCCCTGCCCAGCTGTTCAGTGAACTAAGTCCTAGAGGAGTGAGGGAAGGAGCCTGTAGACAGATCTCTTCTGGAACAACTACTGTAAATGATGACCGTGTTAAGAAACCTCCAATACTTGCTTCTCGTGCATCCCGATTCCGTTACAGTTGGTGGGCAGTCCTAACATGAATTTGGGCAACACCCCCATCATCTAAATGGCAGAGTAACCTGGAGCATGTCTTTGAAGATGCTGGACATCTGCCAGCGCTCTCCTCCCTCCATGTGCCTATGGTTTCGCTGGGTCCAGCACTGGGCCTCACCCCTGCCTTTCACAGCACCTTTCCTGGGGTTCTGAAGGGCACATTGGGTTACTGTTTAGAGCAGGCCGTTAGCTGCCATCTTCCTTGGCTCCCTTTTCATGTCCTCAGCATTTGGGGGCATCTCTTACCTACTGTGTTTCCTCTCCCATTCTCTTGGTCCTTGTGGGTTTATTCCTTTCTTTCTTCTTTCTTCTCTTTGAAGAGATAATTTGGAAAGAATCATATAGGTTCTAGGACTTCATTTTTAGCCATAAGCCTCTGATTTGTATTTTAAGACCATTTTTGCTACTGTGTCAAAATGGCCCTGAGGGAAGGAGAACAGAATTCTGCAGGGAGCCCCATTGGGAAGCCCTGAGGAGGCATAGCCCAGCCTGGAGAGAGAAGAGAAGGCCTGAGACCCCGGGGAGGTGGGCTGGGCAGCACTAACTGTCTGCAGGGGGCAAGGGCCGGAGGGGGGAGGAGCACCACCGGCTTCAGGCTCTTCTGACCTAATTTTGGAAAGCAGCTTGTATGGTTCATTGTGTTTACATTCTTGCAAATGGAGAGACCTTTAAAACAAGCCATGGTTCTTCATGCCCACTGTTAAAAATTTTAAATGGACAAAATGAAAATACTATGTCATCATAACAAATACATATAAATTATTACATAGCTTTCCGTCTCTCATACAGTAGTTGTTTTACTAGTCCGCAGGCATGGAGCCCTGGGCCATTGCTGATTCCTTTGCTGTGGTGGTGGGGGCACCGCTGTGTCCTTTCCGGAGCTCCCCTGCACCCAGGTGGCATCCTCAGGGGAGGGGGGAGGCAGCAGGACTCAGATAACTGGAGGAAGGGCCTCCAGGCTGCTGTTGGGGCCCACAGGGGTAAGGGGAGTCCGGGCGCCCTGCTTTCCCTAAGCACATCCCAGACTGCAGCCTTGCTTCTGCCCGTTTGAGTCCAGCATTGGAGTTTTGCTCTCCCGCATTGCCTGGTAAATGACAGAAGACGTGTGTAAAGTCGCACATCAGTGAGTGCCTGTGTTGTATGCTCTCCCCTGGGAGCAGAAACTACGAGGGGCCCTGCAGGCCGGTCAGGGAGCACCCTGCGTGCGCCCAGCGCCTCCTGGCACACCACAACGGCGGGGATGCTCTCCCAGGTTCGGCACGCTCTGCCTGCCTTCTAGCTTCTTTGACACCTGACTGCTTTTTCTAATTAATTTAAAATTTGGGAACTACCTCAGTGGCTGATCCCATGCACCCAGGTCACATGTTGATCACAGACCTTGTGGGAAGAAAGTTGGAAACAGGGCACTTCCGAGATGTTGTCTTATTCCAGGCTAAGTCCTGCTCTGAGAACGGACCTCACAGGCGTCCAGAAGAGCAAAGGGCCGAGTTTGAGAAGGTCAGCATTTGCCAGACTCGTGGCTCCCTGAGAATTGAGCGAGGGAGTGAATATGGGTGGAGGCCTTGCTCAGAACCTGGCCTGTATTCTTTGCCCCCTCTTCCTCTCTGTCTTTCTCTCTCTGTTTCTATCTCTCTCACCATTCTGTGGAAGTATTTCCCCTTTTTTTCTTATTGGCTTTATTTATTGGTAGTTTGTAGTATCATATCGAAGAAGAAAACCGGATGTAAAAATGCTAACCCATATTTTACTGTTACATTGATTGCCATGTCTCAGAAAAAAAAAAAAATAAGACTTTCCAAAGGCACATAAACTGCTTGGTTCACATACATATCACCCTATCAAGCATTAGTATTTAGCAATATGAACAAAACCCCAAAATGACCCACAAATGAAACAGGACTAATTTATCACATACCAACTTCAATATTATTGAATGGTTTTTGCAGATTTTTATTCTTCGTTCCAGAAGGCTTTGTAGATACTCATCATCTCACCGCTCGGATGTTCAGGGGAATTAGGTATATTCTCTATCTGACTTAAGGAACATGCCGCATTTGGGCTGATGGACCTCAAACCTTTGTCCCCCCTGCTCCCCCCAAGCCAGTGTCCCAGGACAGGGGACAAGTTGGTGGAATAATGGGCCCGTTTGGGTTGCCTGCCTTTTAGCTGGACATTCTGAGCCCGCCGTGTGCTGCCCTGTGCCAGTGCTGGAGCCCCGGTGCTAAGTGAGCAGACCCTCTCCTGCCTGCACAGAGGCCGTGGGGAGGTGCACTTGACACTAGGAACAAGCAAGTCAGAGTGCTCACTTCCAGTGACCTTGCAGAACCTTGGCTTGGCCTGCAGCATGCCCTTCCAGACGGCAGGCCTCCTCCCCTTTCCTTGTCTTCAGCTCCCTGGAAGCAGTGTTAGTCCTGCGTCAGGTCCCGCTCCTGGAGTTTTTCTCTTTACACCATCAATGCGGGCACTTCCTGTGTCAGGGTAGCTGTAGGGTCTGCTCTTCCAGCTGGGCAGCAGCTCCCACCGGGGGCCAGTCTTCAGGAGGGGGGACCTCGGCTCTTGGGTCCCTTACATGAGCTTGGTGGGGACCCAGGATGACATTCTCTCCCAGGTATGCTGACTGTGATCTGAAGATTACACCTTTTCTATAGGAAAACTTTCTTAAAATTCGGTTTGCCTTCAGAATTATATTGGCCAACTCTGGTTATTGATGAAGGCTTATTTCTTGATGCAGTTCATATTTCTTACTCATTTCATCCCATTAGACTGCTGGAGATTGGGCTTTACCTAAGGCTTCTGGTATGCCGTGGTGGCTCATTTGGAAAGGTTTCAAATATTTAGATTTTTTTGAAGACTTTGCAGGTGTGTAAGGAAATGCGAGACTAGAGGGACAGAGTCACGTGATACTAACCTAGCCATCATCTTTTTTTGTTTTTCCTTAACAGATGCAGCAGCTTTTTTATGAGAATTACGAACAGAACAAAAAGGGGTACATTAGAGATCTCCATAATAGTAAAATTCACCGAGCCATCACCCTGCACCCCAACAAAAACCCACCCTACCAGTACCGGCTCCACAGCTACATGCTCAGCCGCAAGATAGCCGAGCTTCGCCACCGCACCATCCAGCTCCACCGAGAGATCGTCCTGATGGGCAGATACAGCAACACGGAGATTCACAAAGAAGACCTCCAGCTGGGAATCCCACCTTCCTTCGTGAGGTTTCAGCCCCGCCAGCGGGAGGAGATCCTGGAGTGGGAGTTTCTGACTGGGAAATACTTATATTCTGCGGCTGAGGGCCAGCCGCCTCGGAGAGGGATGGACTCCGCTCAGAGGGAGGCCTTGGATGACATTGTCATGCAGGTCATGGAGATGATCAATGCCAATGCCAAGACCAGAGGACGCATTATTGACTTCAAGGAGATACAGTATGGCTACCGCCGGGTGAACCCCATGTATGGGGCCGAATACATCCTGGACCTGCTCCTTCTGTACAAAAAGCACAAAGGGAAAAAAATGACTGTTCCCGTCCGGCGACACGCATATTTACAGCAGACCTTCAGCAAGATCCAGTTTGTGGAGCACGAGGAACTGGATGCAAAGGAATTGGCCAACAAAATCAATCAGGAATCCGGATCCTTGTCCTTTCTCTCAAATTCCCTGAAGAAACTTGTTCCCTTTCAGCTCCCTGGATCAAAGAACGAGCACAAAGAACCCAAAGAGAAAAAGATAAATATATTGATTCCATTGTCTGGGCGTTTCGACATGTTTGTGAGATTCATGGGAAACTTCGAGAAGACGTGTCTCATTCCCAATCAGAACGTCAAGCTCGTGGTTCTGCTTTTCAATTCTGACTCGAACCCTGACAAGGCCAAACAAGTTGAACTCATGAGAGATTATCGCATTAAGTACCCTAAAGCTGACATGCAGATTTTGCCTGTGTCTGGAGAGTTTTCAAGAGCTCTGGCCCTTGAAGTAGGGTCTTCCCAGTTCAGTAACGAGTCTCTGCTCTTTTTCTGTGACGTTGACCTCGTGTTTACTACAGAATTCCTTCAACGATGTCGAGCAAACACAGTTCTGGGCCAACAGATATATTTTCCAATCATCTTTAGCCAGTACGATCCAAAGATTGTTTATAGTGGGAAAGTTCCCAGTGATAACCATTTTGCCTTCACTCAGAAAACTGGCTTCTGGAGAAACTATGGGTTTGGCATTACTTGCATTTACAAGGGAGATCTTGTCCGAGTAGGCGGCTTTGATGTTTCCATCCAGGGCTGGGGGCTCGAGGATGTGGACCTTTTCAACAAGGTTGTCCAGGCAGGTTTGAAGACATTTAGGAGCCAAGAAGTGGGAGTAGTCCACGTTCACCATCCTGTCTTTTGTGATCCCAATCTCGATCCCAAACAGTACAAAATGTGCTTGGGGTCCAAAGCATCCACATATGGGTCCACACAGCAGCTGGCTGAAATGTGGCTGGAAAAAAACGACCCAAGTTACAGTAAAAACAGCAATAACAGTGGCTCAGTGAGGACAGCCTAAGGTCCAGCTTTGCTGGAAGAGACGTTTTTAATTATCTAATTTATTTTTCAAAAATTTTTTGTATGATCCGTTTTCGAAGTCCATACAAGGATTATATTTTACACATGATTTTCTTACAAAGGACTCCTTGATGATTGAGCTTTTTGAACAAAAATGTGATCATGTTTGCCTTTGAGCACATTTTCTTGCTGAACGTCATGTAGCAGGCCTGCTTGATAATGACTTGAAATGTACCTGATGGACAGAACTTTCTTGTCGTGTTTCGTTGTGTTTTATGCGTTTCTTTTCAGACCCCTTTGCTGTGGTCCTATGGTAGAAAACATGAACGTTCCTGCAAAGTATTAATGTAACAGAACACTGTAACTCTGGTACATGTTTTGTTGTAACTGGTAATGTTGCACAGATTCGACCTTTTGTCTTTTTTTTTTCAATGGCGATTTTTTTTTTTTTAAGCCATTTCATGTTCTAATTGTAAAATAAGGAAATGTGATAATAAGTTGTATCATCATTGTCGGGAGAGCTTTCCAAAGTTGATTCTTTCCCCCAACTTGTGCTCATTGTGGTCACGGAGTTGTTTTAAAAGCAAGGGGAGAAAGGCACAGTAAGATGAATGGCTGTCGTCGTAATTTGTGTGGCTTAATGGACCTGGCATTAAATTCCAAGAAGGATTTGTTTTTTTGTTTTTTGTTTTTTCTCATCTTTAAAGGGTACACTATTAATATTTGGAATGGCAAGGAAGAATTATTGTAATAAATCTAATGTACACAAGCTAAAACAGAAACAAAAACCCGCCCTAATGAAAGCATTGGGGGAAAATGTATTTTGGTTTTGTTCATCCTGTCTGTGTTACATCGGTGGAGTTGGCTGTTTCAATCTTTAATTACTGTTTTGTTTTATTCTTTGTATCTGAAATACCTTTAATTTATTTAATATCCATTGTTTAGAGCTCGGCCATTTCTCAAGTACCTGTTTAGCTATTAGTATTTATGTGTATCAGGAGTGTGTTTAGTGTTATTTTATTTGCAGTAAACTGATCTCCAAAGATTTCCTTTTGAAAATGCTTTTCCCTCCTCAATTTTTACATTCCTTACTGTTTTACTAAATATTAAGTGTTCTTTGACAATTTTGGTGCTCACATGTTTTGGGGACAAAAGTGAAATCTGTCATTACACCAGAAAGTTCGTTTGTTTTAAAAACTCACAGATCAAATGTGCCTTAATAAATTTTCTTTTTCATTTAGATTTCAAACAGTAATAGACTTGCCATTTTAATACACATCGTTGGAGATCTGCTTATTTGTAAATAGTCTGTTGCTCATTCGGGAAAATAAACCAGTCAACAGTATTTTTCTATTGTACTTTTCAGGACCATTTTGTCTCATTACTCCTGTTTTAGCTAAAGAATTGTATAACATTTGGAGAGTAAAAACATGAAACACTGATTTATAAAGTTTTTCAAGTTATTTCAGGGGGAATATTTATGTAGAATGCAGTTTGGGAGTGAAATGAAACTTTCAAGTGCCTCTTCCTCTCCCCCCACCCCCCTCCAGTGAATCTGTCCTTTGTTCCTCTTCAGCTTGTCCATTCTCTGTTCTCTAGAACAAGGGTCTTCAAACCCACTCCATGCCCCATCTGGCTTCCTGGTACGGATGCACCTTCCTGGCCCCATATTGGACTGACTACGCCCATTGGAATCTGCATTTTAACCAGTGCCCACGTGCTACTGTGTGCACGAACGTTCTCGGGGTTTTAGGCTAGATCTAACTACAGGATAAATTGTGTATGGTTGCTCTATAATCCAAGAATCAAAAAAAGTTTAGATCTTTGATGCCAAGGGAGCAAGCTGTGTGGATGCCAGTTCCAGTCCGGGACAGGTACTTACCGTGTAATGACAGTTAAGACCCAGTATAATAACATTGTGCTCTCGGGAGGGATTGCTGCCATTCAGCCTAATTGTCATTTACTTTGTGGGGATGTTTAGTTTTCCTTTGGAAAAAAAGCACAGATGTTTTTATTCTTCAGTAAGGAAGAGCACAGTATGCGTCCTGATGACAAAGTAAGTTCTCCATCATACTCGTTAACTAGAGGGATTTAGGACGGGGTATGAGCAGTTTCCTTCTCAAGCTTGAATGGCCATCCAGTGTCTTGGTGACGCTTTGTTCAAGTTCACTGTTTCCTTCCTACTCCCACTCGTGCTCGTCTATTCCACTTCCTGATGTCGTGTGGATGTTTACGGAGGTGCTGCCCTCCCTTCCTCGAGATTCAGTCTTTAGGAATGCTGCTGGACCCCTTCCTTCTGGTTCCCTCTTTGGTGGTGCCATGCCCAGACTCTGTGCTCACTGGCCTCTTGGTTCGCTCTCCTCCTGGCCTCTCCTCGTGTATCCCGCCAGGATCTCTCTTCTCAATCAGCAGCTTTAGTGTCTTCCTGCCTGGGAGAAGACTGTGAGCCCCCTCCTCAGGAGCCTCCAGCCAAACTGGGCTGTAAGTTTGTGGGGTCATCAGTCTCTTTCCTGCTCTGGCCTCTGTCTGGAGCACTCTCTGCACACCACTCCACTGGCCACCCGGACTCATTCTCCAGGAGCCAACTGAAACTCTCACCCTGACCACTCTGGGTTCATCCTGGACCCTTCCAGCATAGATGTGACCCAGCTGGACTTCATTCCATGGTCATGTGATAATGTCTCCCTCACTCCAGCCCCTCGAGTGCATCTGGATCTCTTCCCAGCGGTACCCTGGCACGTTGAGCCCTCTTGTCTGTGTCCTACGCTGTCCCCAGCCTTGCTATTAGTGCATGGTGCCCCGTCTGTATGCGTTCCTCCCAGTGGAATGTCCAGCTGACCTGCCTACCTGTCACTGCATTGGCTGTGACCTTGTGGCCCATCCATACCCATGACCTGGAAGTAATTGCTTCTTCCCTTAAACCTCTGAAGGCCCTCTACTTGAGATACGCTTTGTTTCATTGTTACTTTATTTATACTTAGTATGCATTGCTTTATTTTAAATATAGAGAAGTATTGAAATGGCCCATAACCCCACAAACCAGATAGCCCTTGTTAACAGTATCTAGAAATGAAGAATATGTGGAGATGGTTGGAAGGGGGAAGAGATCACAATGCTGCACAAAGGGGGGAAATGGAGCCTTCCTCCTCCTCTAACCGTCCAGCCCTGAGGTCCCTCCCACAAAGAACCACCGGCTTTGTGTGTCCTGGTGGGGAATGGGTGGTGCGAAACGTGTGTGAACTAGATTGGTAGCATTTGAAACAATTCATTTACACAAATGAGAACCACATGCTTGCTGGGGCACCTGGGCCTGTGTGAGCCTCTTCTTACCACACGACAGCGGTGGACCTGGTCCGCTCATGACTGGTGGACATATTTCTGGAGGGCAGGGCGGGACCGGTGGGCTTTGGGGCGTTGTGGGGACACGTGTGGGAGCCCTGTCCGGAGTGGGAGTGGGAGAGGCTTGTGGGGCAGACGCTCATGGCACCTCCCCTCTGGAAGGTGGGATTGTTTTCCCAGTCCTGCTCTTCTGGGCCAACATGAGGCCATAGTATGCATGTGGACCATAGCATTTCAGGACTTTGGTGTTTGGAGACCAGGCCATGTGTCACAAACTGTAGGTCACATGACTGTCCGTCCCTCTTGGCTGCAGAGTGACAGCTGGGAGTGAAGGGGATGCATTCCCTCTCACAGGGTGCTGAGGGAGAAGGGGCAGGTGCTGCTGGTGCACCCACAGCTGGGGGAACACAGAAGTAGCCCTGACCTTTCCCTAGTCTCCCCAAACTCCCATCAACCCAGCGGGATCAAGCTCTTGATCTCTGTGGGCCAAGACTGTGCTCCCTTCCTGCCCAGCCTTTTGACACATCCCATTCACAAAGCTCGCCCAGCCTCACCTCCAATTCAGCGGGCGTGTGCTTCCTCTGCTGCTCAGACAGCAGGTGCAGGGACGCAGCTAACGCACATCTTCACTCCCAGCAGGCTAGAGACGCTTACCATTGTCATGTGTGATTGAGCAAAATGACAGTCACATTTTGCCTCAATCCTATGCCCTTGAAGGGTCACGTGGAGGAGGACGACAGTAAAGGGGAATGGTAGGTTTTCAGAGTCATTCTGATGCCAGGTCTCTTGCCTTTGAACAAAAGGTCCATCCTCCAGGAAGGTGAACTGTCACCTGCGGGGCTGCCTGCCCACTGGACTTTGTCAGCCGCTGAGGGGCTCTGCCCTGGCCCCAGACTTCAGGGTCTCCCCTTGTGCTTTCTTGTCATGGTGGGGAGCAAGTGCCAGCCCTCCTGCACCTGCACTGGCGCCCGCCCTGGGGGATTAGGCTGTGTTACTGCATATAAATTGCTGTAATCTGTGCTGCAAAGGAGATTATGTGCCGCAGTGACTGGGGGCAGCAGGGAGGGGACCTGTTTGCTATGGTGGCTGCACAGGCCTGCACCCTACCTCAATGGGTCCCACTGTGCTCTTCAAGCCCTGAAAGGATGGGCTTCTGTTCCATTTGAAGGAGAAGGCTGCTCATACCAAATCTGCTTCGTCAAACTTGTTACAAGTGCAGTTGAAGTGTAAATGTTGCAATGCTTTGGATCAAATTACAGCAACTCATTTTGTATGACTTGCAGTAGGGGGAAAAAAAAGCTTCTCATGTTAGTTTTGCTATGCTTCAGCGTTTTGGGGTTTTTTTTGTTTGTTTGTTTTTGTTTTTGTTTTTGTTTTTGCAGAGATGTGAAGGGGGTGGATCGGAGAAGGGGGAAGAAAGAAAAACCTTCAACAGTACGGCAAACCATATTAAGGGCCAGCTTGTCACCAATGAGTTAAACCATTTACATGCCTGTTGTCAGATACTTTTTAATGCATTTATTTACCATTAATTATATTCCAGTTTTGAAGGTTTTCATGTCTTACTACAACAATCAAAAACAAAATTTTGGGGACACCCAGGTGGCTCAGTTGGTTAAATATCTGACTTGATTTCAGCTCAGGTCATGGTCTCACGGTTTCATGAGTTTGAGCCCCACGTCGGGCTCTGTGCTGGCAGTATGGAGCCTGTTTGGGATTCTCTCTGCCCCTCCCCCACTTATGCTCTCTCCTGTGTCTCTCAAAGCAAATAAACTTAAAAGAAAACCCACAAAATTTTGTCCTTTGGAAAACATTCTAGCTGCATTTTCTTTAAAACGAGTTGTCTGGCTGATGAGTTGTTCCTGACTGTTTGTTTAGTTTATGTATTTATTTTGAGAGAGAGCATGAGCAGGGGAGGAGCAGAGAGAGGCTCTCAAGCAGGGTATGCACTGTCAGCACAGAGCACAACTCGGAGCTGGATCTCCTGAAATGTGAAATCATGACCTAAACTGAAATCAAGCGTCGGTCACTTAACTGACTGAGCCACCCAGGTGCCTCTGCCAGACTGATTTCTTTTTCTTTTTTTCTTTTTAAAAAATGTTTTAAAAATTTTTGGGAGAGAGACAGAGCGCAAGTGAGGGGGTTTGCAGAGAGAGAGGGACACAGAATCTGAAGCAGGCTCTAGGCTCTGAGCTGTCAGCACAGAGCCTGATGTGGTGCTCGAACTCGTGAACTGTGAGATCATGACCTGAGCTGAAGTTGGACGCTCAACCGACTGAGCCACTCAGGCACCCCTATGCCTGACTTGATTTCTAATGAGAAAGTATAATAAGAAATTGATCAAACCATTTAGTGATGCAAAATAGGTAAGCTCTGGAATCTACTTAAATGCATCTGTAATGCATTTCCCTCTATCACGAGCCGGTGATGCCTCTGGCCTGCCACCTTCTCTTTCTTCTTGCTGATGTGCTGCAACTCAACATCTGTGTTGGGCCACAGCCCACTGCATACCCAGCTTAATGCTACATACACATTCCCACTGGAGGAAGGAACACGGTTAGAGCCAAATCTCAAAGGCACCTTCAAATTTATTCTGAATTAAGTTTGGGGCTTTCTCTAGGCAGAGGCTTACCTCCTGTTACAAAACTAAAAGGGAAACCTCAATCATAGGTTCAGAATGCCCTCCCAAAGCTAGAAATGTTCTAGCATACACATTCAAGTTGTTGTGAAGGGAGCATTTTGGACTTTTAAATCTGTCTCCCCTTGTGAATAGCAATGTGATTAATCACAATATGAAAATATGTATACAGGGAAATTGAGTCAAGAAGGAAAGATCTTCCTCTTCCACCAGCCCGTTCCCACTTTGGCAGGTTCCTCTGGAGTTTTTATTTTTTTTTTTTTAATTTTTTTTTCAACGTTTTTTATTTATTTTTGGGACAGAGAGAGACAGAGCATGAATGGGGGAGGGGCAGAAAGAGAGGGAGACACGGAATCGGAAACAGGCTCCAGGCTCCGAGCCATCAGCCCAGAGCCCGACGCGGGGCTCGAATCCACAGACCGCGAGATCGTGACCTGGCTGAAGTCGGACGCTTAACCGACTGCG